TGAACAAATGTATAGAAAGAATACACATTCCCTCAAGTTGCGAGAAAAATGTTAAAGAAAAGAAAGTTGGGTTTTCCAGTGCATTGTTGCCATTATGATTACAAAAATGATCCCTCATTGTTAAGAGGATGGAATTTGAAGACACATTTAGTGACTGTTTGAAATTGCAATGGCACTGAAAAAAGTGACTTATGACTGTTTTTCACACTTAAGATTGTTGCAGCATCCCCATAGTCACTTGACCAAAATTCAGGTGCTCTGACAAAGAAAGTTAATATGGAAGCCAGATTCACTTAACAACCATATTATTAATTTAACAACTGCCGTGATTTACTTAACATTTGAGGCAAGAAAGGTTGTAAAATGGGTGTTCTGACCCAAACTTTGTTCCAAGGAAACAAACACGAAACAGAGGTAACAGCAAAACCTTTTAATGATTCTTTACAAATTCCGTTCCTTCACGGTTAAAAGGCTGTTTCAAACTAATTGTCTCTGATAAGAATGTGCCTTGCCAAGGTTGTGCAAGTCTGCCAAGTATACTAGATAAAGTTACTAAGAAATATTTCAAACACAAAGAGTCTCCAAACACCAACCAAGATACTCTGAACGTCCATGGGATTATGGATGAGTGCAAAAACTTATTTGCTTTCTGCAAAGAACTCCAGTTTCTCAGCTGGCTTTTATCTCTTAAGGGAGGGGCTATTACCTTGCAGCCTTACTCCCGAGTCACCTATGCTGCTGTAGCTGCTCTTTCCTTCGAGCAGCCCTGCGCGCATGCACGCTGGGCACGGGATCCCCGTGGACCTCTTCATCATTGCTGCCAGCCTCCACAATCTCTGAAGGCAGCATTCCACTCCCTGATGGTCTTGGCCCTGTCCCTGCATCACATGCATAGCCCTCATCTGAGTCCTCACTCTCCGAGACCACAGCCGTCTGCACCTGCTGCTGGCGAATCACAACAATGGGGTAAAATTCACTCAACAACTATCTCACTTAACAACAGAAATTTTGGGCTCAACTGTAGTCTTTAAGTTGAGGATACCTGTATATGCAATGGTGCACAGCTCAAAATAACTCTTGAAGGTGGGTATTTAATGCAAAGTAGTATACTAAATTAATTAAGCAGCATATTTTCCTGAGCTCCAATACTGCATAAGCCCAGAAAAAGAAAATACTCCTTTAAGGAGCAGCTGACAGATACAGAAGCAGTGCCCTTGCTGGTTGTGAGGTTCCTTTGTCCAGATCTGAATATTGTACACCTTTTAATAAAAACGCAGAAGTAAAAGACTGTTAAATCTGTGACAGATTACAAGCTATTTGTAGTACAAAAGATAAATTGAAAACATTTTTGCCAACACTAATAATAGTAAAGAAAGTCATGAAATTATTGAAATTGAATATTCTACACACATATTCACACACACATTTAAATCCATAATTCTGTACTGGAGGCACTATGTTTTAAAAAAGTATATTTTGGATAGTGGAGGAGAAAACGTAATTGTTCTGTTTGAAAATATGAGGATTTTGGATCAATTCCACAAAAGAGTAAAGTAATTTTGGCTGGAAGCCTTTTTTAGGTCTTGTCTCTGAGGAAAATATAAATACCGTAATCGTTATATTTTTTAGAATACAATTGGTGGGGGGGCCAGGGAAAAAGAACCCAGGATAACCACTGTAGGAAAACTCTGCTTTGCTGCTTGCATATACAGAACTCTTGGAACAGCAGTATTAGACAAAGGCTGAGTTGTAAGCAAGGAAGCAGACCGCCCGCCTCCAGCCAGTGCCCCGGTTTGGCTCCAGGATTTGTAAACAGAAAGAGGCCAGGCTCCAATAAGTCAGACAGTGGGTGGCTCTCCCTCCCTCCGATCTGCATGGAGGAAATGCCTACTTGTACAAGCTTTTTTATTACATAAAAGTATCTGAGCTATTTTAAATTTGCCAGAACTGCCTTTCTGTGAATGCTGAAAAAGCATGTAGCATTTAACTGCTTAAAGGATCAAAGAATGTTTCCTATGAAATGCAGGAGATGTTGTCTGTTAATATCTGTAGTTATAAGGATACCCACCCTGCCGAAGAATATAAGAATCTTACTATCCTTATATTCTATTTTGTTTCAAAGAAAGTGATGTATTGCCATCAGGCAAATGAAGAATTACTACAACAAACTCAGGGCATATATTGGAAAATCCTAGTCTTTGGTGTAGTTAATTGTATCACTTTTATCAGAGGATTAAAAATTGCCTAGAACAATGGTTTCTGAAGAAATATTGCTTTCAGATTTTCTTCTGACTGCCCTATGTCCAGAAGGAGGATTGCAGCAGCTAAAGCAAATACCTTTGTCTTCATGGATTTCCTGCCTCCAAGTTCCCTTCTCGTGGCCAGCCTTATATTTCCTCTAAAAATGAGGTTTCCTTTTGCCTGCGCATGTGGGCAGTACATTTTAACCTTCTTAGAACTCCAGATTGACTAGCAGACAAATCTTGTTATGGAGGAAAAAGATAGTTGTTGCATAAAAGGGTGGGTGGACTCTTTTTTTCATTCTAGGAAATTAGTGACATCATTTATCATGTATTCTGAACTGAATCTCATAGCATAGAGTTCTCATAGTAGGAAGCCAATTTGAATAGAAAGATAATACATTATATAATACACTTATTTTACTCTAGCACTTGTGAAAGACATAACTCAGAAGCTAATATTATTGTTCAGTCCCATTGTCATTGGGTTCATCTTTCTCTCTCTGCTAGTTAGCATTTTAATAAGAGTTACTAGAAAAGGTGATCTGGGAATGTGGAATGACTGGCATGTTAATGACATACCAGTGTTTCCAGTGTGTCAGTATGAAATAATCTCTGTTGTTTCACAATACAAACTAAGATATAAATGATAATAGTTCATTTCAGGAAGAATGGTAACCACAGGCTTAAAGTGATGGTTAGATGCTTCATATCTTTATTAAGTAATTATGAAAGCACGGATTGGTGTTATTGGAGTTTGAAAGCTTTTGAATTTATTAGAAACATGCCCGTTTCAATTTTTGTTCAAAACACCCCCTATCATTTCAATTACTAGCTCATTTTGCGGAGACAACCTTATATTTGGATAAATAAAAATATTTGTTATTGTACATGAATATTTTTATTTTGTCCTTTCTCTATTCTGTTTTATTATTCCTTTATTAGGGATAATAATTAAGGCTAATTTTCTTAATGTATGTCAAAGGAAATACTATAAAATACTGAGTAAAAAGATTCCCAACTTCTGCACTGCCACATGCATTGCTTTATTATTTTGAATCTGTAAACATCCCGAAGAAATAGTATGTACAAATTCACATTTAGCATGGAAATATACCATGCTCAATCAAGTTTGTACACTGTATAATTGTTCAGCCTTCAGGTGCTTTGGAGAATAGGTTGACCTCCTCTTCTTTGGGGCATCCCCTCAAATATTGGAACTCTACTATCATGTCGTACTTAGACCTTAGACCACTAGATTAGACACACCCAATTCCTGCAACCACTTTTCATATGTTTTAGCTTCCAGACCCCTAATCATCTTTAATGCTCTTCTCTGAACTCTTTCTAGAGTCTAAACATCCTTTTTATATTGTAACAACCAGAACTAGATGCAGTATTCCAAGTGTGGTCTTACCAAGATCTTATAAAGCAGTACTAACATTTCACATGATCTTGATTCTATCCTTCTTTTAATGCAGCCTAGAATTGTATTGGGTTTTTGGCAGCTGGAGCACACTGCTGGCTCATATTGAAGTTGTTATCTACTAGGATTTCTAGATCCAGGGGTGGTATTCTACCTGTTTGCACCAGTTTGGCAGAACCGGTTGTTATGGTTCCCGGTAGTACGGAGAACTGGTAAAACGGGCTTCTGGCTGGCCCCGTCCCTCTCTGCCTGCTTCTCCACTCCCTGCCCAGTCAGTCCCTATTGCACATCTGCAACATCGTGCGCATACGCGACATGGCTGCAGCCTGTTTTTACCCGCCCGCCAGGCCAGCCATTGCTGCCTGCCTTTTGCTTGTGAAAAGCTTGCAAGCCCCCCTCCCTTCAGGAAACTGTTCCTGGACAGCAGAGAAGCAGCGCAGTTGAACCCTGTTTCTCTCTGCTGTCCAGGAGCCGTTTCCCGAAGGGAGAGGGGCTTGCAAGCTTTTCGCTCTGCCGGGAGAGAGACTCCCAGCAAGAGCACATGAGAGAAGAAGCCCGGAGCCGACATGAGCCTCTCCACTGATCTGCCTGCTCACAGGTAAGCCGACGAGTTGTGCTAGCCCTTCCCCCACTGTCCCTAAGCCTCACCCAGCCATCTCGAGGGCTCTCCGGACCTCTCCCAGCTTACCTACCTGCCCCCCCTCCCCAGGCTTGGCTGGCTGGCTTCCCCATCAGTGTGGCCCCATCCTGCTGGCGGTGCTGGCTAGGGGCTACCTACCTCCCCACCCATCCCCGGGCTCGGCTGGCTGGTTTCCCCACTGGCGCGGCCCCATCCCTGGGCTTGGTTGGCTGGCTAAGCTACCACGTGGTGCTCTCCCAGCTCTCCTTACTACATGGCAGTGAGCTGCCATGTTCTGACCATTAGGGCGGCGGAACCAGCTGCCTCCCATAACCAGGGCTTTTGCTGCCGCTTACACGAGGCTGCCAGAGTCAGGTCCTCTGCCTCTGCCACCTTCGGATGTGTTTTGCTAGGTCCAGGGGGTGGGTGTGCAAAGCACCACTGCAGCCGCTTACACAAGGCTGCCAGAGCCAGGGTCACTGCCTCTGCCACCCGCAGAGGTGTTTTGTGAGGTCCGGGGTGTGGGTGTGCAAAGTGCCGCTGCAACCGCTTACACAAGGCTTCCAGAGCCAGGATCGCTGCCTCTGCCACCTGCAGAGGTGTTTTGCAAGGTCCAGGAATGGTGCGCAAAGCACCGCTGCAGCCACTTACATGAGGCCGCTGCCACATGTGGAGGTATTTTTTTTCTTTTCATGCCACCCGATGCTGACTTCAGCTCGCCAGATCATTCAGTTCATCCCAGACCAGGTGTGTGTGTGAGAGAGAAAGGGAGAAGGAGAGAGAGAGAGACAGGGGGCCAAGAAAAGAAAGAGCAAGAAAGAAAGGAAGGGAGAGAAAGAAAGAGAGGGAGAGTGGAGAAAGTGAATGAGATATATGGATGGATATATAAATACGTGGAAGGAGGGAGGGAGGGAGGGAGAGAAGAAAAAATGGAGGGGAAGGAAGGACACAAACCCTGGCTTTAGAAGATTCTTTGAAGCAGCACAGCAATCTAGGGCTGGCCTGCAAGGGATCTCAGAGTTATCTAGTCCAACCCCCTTCTCCAGCAGGAGATCCTTATAGAATCAAAGAATAGCAGGGTTAGAAGGGTGTGTGTGTGCGCGCGCGCATGCGCACATGGCTGTCAAAATACCCAAAACAGGTTAAGTAGCTCTTGGGAGATCAGTCATAAATTAGGACACTTGCTCAGCAACCAGCCATTAAGTGAGGACCACTTGTATTTGGTTTGCCAGTCACATGACCACCAAGCCATGCCCACCCAGTCACATGACCACCAAGCCACAAATTAAGCCACGCCCACAGAACCAGTTGTTACAAAATTTGAATCCCACCCCTGTCTAGATCTCTCTTGCAGTTAACTGCTGTTGAGCCAAGTTGTACTTATTGTATATCTGTGCATTTGTTTTTTCTTGCCTAAGTGTAAAATCTTATTTTTCTCACCATTTTGTTAGATAGGACCCAGTGTTCAAGTCTATCAAGATTGTTTTGGATCTTGAGTATATACTGGGGTGTTGGCTCTTCCTGCCAGCTTGGTCATCTGTTCATCTCAATCATTTATGAAGATGTTGAAGAGTACTGGACCTAAGATAGAGCCTGGGGTACCCCAAAGCATGCTTCCCTCCATGTAGATGTAACTCCATTAAGGACTACATGCTGAGTGCGGTTGGTCAGTCAGTTACAAATCCCTCTGGTGCTGAGGCTGTCTATCCCACATTTTTCTAACTTACCAAGAAGTAGGTTCTGGTCTACTTTGTCAAAGAATGAAATAAGATTTGTTTGGCATGATCTGTTGGCTTCTGATTATAACATTTCTTGCTTCTAAGTATTTGTAGATCTGCTGTTTGATTATCTTTTCCAGAATCTTCCCACGTATCATGCTGATTGAGATCTGTAGTTTCCTGATGCATTTCCCCCTTTTTTGAAAAGTAACTATGTCAGCTCTTTTTCTGTCTTTTGTTAGTTCTCCGGTGCTCCAGGATCTTTGAAAGATAAGGTTCAGTGGGTCCAAGAGCATGTGTGCCAGCTGCTTCAGAACTCTGGAATGTAATCCATCTGGTCCTGAGGATTTGAACTCATCTAGGGTAGACGGGTGTTGTCTTACCATTTTTGTGCCTATTTTAATTTGTATTCTTAGTCTGTCTTTTACAGTTCTGCTTTTGATAGGTTGGGATTTTTTTTTCCTTTTGTATGAAAAAGAATGCAAATAATGAATTAAGCAGCTCTGCTGTCAGATCCGTGTATCTCTCACCGATAGAAAAGTCCGAGATCGCATCACAGCCATAAAGCAAGGCCATCACCCGGTAGCTGAATACACATATTTCGTGACCTGGCTGGCCGAGTCGACTGGCCAGAGGATATCCTAGTCTGTTGGTTCAAAGATGGACTAAATGACGACCTATATTCTGCATGCCTAGCCCGTGGGGCCCCAAACCTCCTGCATGAATGGTACATTATGGCAGAGGAGGTCGAGATAGACATGACTCATAACCGGTACTGCAGTGGCAAGTTTTGGAAAAGATCCCCACCCCTGGGGAAATGGGAAATTTTCAAATCCCAAACCACCATGACTCCAAGAACGTCTGGTTGCTTTAAGTGTGGAAAGGAGGGACACCGCGCAGCAGAATGCCGTTTGAAAACCCCTGCCAGAAAGCCAGACCACCCTAGGGGGGAATGTTCCCCCCTCCAAGGGGGAAACCTGGAACATCCAACCCTCGAGGAAAGGAGACTGGCCTGAGGGGCCGAGAAGCTGTGGGATTCTGGTCCCCCCCAACCCAGAGGAAGAACACCCAATGCTCCGAGGGGACCTGAGCCAGTCCAAAAGCGATCCGGAAGACGACCCGCTGTTAAGCAACCCCATTGAACCAATCACTCTACCCCTAAGACCATATCCCCAGCCGAGGGAAGGGGGAGGAAGTTGCAGCGTTGCTGGATTCGGGATGCACCTGATGCCTCATAAATCCCTCCCTTGCAGAGAAATTGGAGATCCAACTGAAAGAAATGGAAAATCCCATCGCTTTCGGCCAATTAGATGGAACTATAGCCGGGGTGGGTGGGGGTGCCAGCTAGGTTTACCACAGAACCATTGAAAATAAGACTGTTATTTGAAAATTCCAGTTTGGTTATCGACTATTGAAGCATTTTCTTATCCTATAATTTATAAGAAGGAACAAACAGTTAGATATGGGGAACTATTGGATGAAAAGGGTGAACTTAAATCGATACAAAATCTAGAGGAAGAAGGTATAAAGAAGAATTGGTTTTCATATGCGCAAATACACTCAAGGTATGATGAAGATTCTAAAACAGAGGGATTTTATGATAAACAGACGGATTTAGATAAGATTTTGACAGGTACTGATGAAAAGGTGATTAAACAATTATATGGTTATTTACTGGGAATTAAGCTAGAGGAAGAACAAGTTAAAGAAACCATGATTGTCTGGGGGAAGAATTTTGGATATGGGATTGATTTAGAGAAATGGCAAAAACTATGGTTGCAAAATTATAAAATGACAATGTCAACAGCTCATAAAGAAAATCTGTATAAGATGTTTTACAGGTGGCATTTTCCCCTGACAAGGATAGCAAGAATGTTCAAGAATAAATTTGAAAAATGCTGGAAATGTCATCAGATACCTGGTTCATATTACCATATGTGGTGGACCTGTGAGGATGCTAGAAAATATTGGACTAAAATCCGCATATGGTTGGAAAAAATGACAAAGAAACACATAGATTTGAAACCGGAGTTTTTTTTATTGGGAATCTTACCAGATACATACAGTAAAGACTTGAAATATCTGATTGTAAATGTATTAACAGCGGCTAGGATTGCATTTGCTAAAAATTGGAAAAATGAGAAAATACCATTGCAGGAAGAAATTATTAAGAAAATATTGGAATGTGCTGAGATGAGTAGATTGACATTTGAAATTAGAGAGCAAGAGGATAAACAATTCTATAAAATTTGGGACCTTTTCTATCAATGGTTGGATGATAAAATATAATAATAGAATATTTAGAATGTTAGATAATAAGGAATATCTTTGCTTTTTCTTTTTTTTATTATCATATTTATAAAGTGTTTTTAGGATAGATTTGGTATGATTATATGATTTGCTATAGAATAAACTACCTAAATTATAGTTATCTCATAAAGTACGAATGAATAAAATTATAGTCAATTGATTTTCTTTCTTTTTTTTAAGCAAATTTTATTGATTTTAACAACAAACAAACAAAACATCATTAGACATTAAAAACGTAAAACCTCTTTCCATTATAAATCTTTACAAGGCAGGTAACACATTATTTTATATCACATTCTTCTAATTTATCCCATTTCCATATAGACACGTAAATTCCCTTTAACAAATTTCACATTATTTCTCTTTACTCTTATTCAATCACATTTCTTTTCTAATTTATCTGCTATTCAATCATCACATTTATATTTTCCTCTGGCTTGTTTACAGTTATTCTCATCTGGCCTTCCTCTGAGATTTTATTAATTCTCAATTAAACACACACACATAAAACACAAAAAAAAACATAAAACTTCCTTTTAGAAAGTAACTTGCCCCCAGATTACCTCTTTTTGTATGGATTTTCTAATAGTGATACTAGGGTACATAAGTTTGGATTGATAATATGAGTTATTATGTAATGTAACTGTAATTGAGACTACAAAATGAATGCACAAAACTGATGAACCAACCGACACACTGTATGTATATATGTATGGAAGAGAACTGATGCTTTTATGTTCTGTTTGTTTTGTATGTTTTTAAAAATCAATAAAATTGTTTTCAAAAAAAGAAAAGAAAAAGAAAATAAGACTAGGGAACCATAGTGAGATGCTCACATTCATTGTAGCCCCAGGAATGGAAGAGCCGCTAGTCCTAGGTCTCACATGGCTGCGGAAATGGAATCCAAAAATAAATTGGAGGACAGGAACCGTATAATTCCAGAGAGACGTAGTATTTGCAAATAGCTCAGAGGAAAGGATAAAGAAAGGAACAGAGAACAAAGAGTCAGCCATGACCGACAGTCGGCTGAACCCATTAACATCCCCAATGAGCACCAGGTTCTGGCCCAAGTATTTAGCGAGGAAGCTTGTGATGAACTCCCACCCCATCATGCCACAGACTGCACTATCGAAATCCTATCAGGGGCTAAACTCCCCAAACCACAAATGTACTGCATGTCTCTCAGAGAACTAAAAGAACTAAAAGAAGAGAACTAAAAGAAGCATTTATCGACAAAATTTTTAAAAGGGGTTTCATCGAACCCGCCCAACCAAAAATAGCTGCCCCAGTGTTATTCCGTGAAAAGAAAGATGGCTCCGTACGCTTGTATGTTAATTACCAAAAATTAAACACGATTTGCATAGAGAATATGTATATACTCCCCCTCATGAAGGACATGTTAGCCCACCTCTTGAAAGAATTTTTTTTTTCAAAGTTAGACCTACGAGAGGCATATTACCGCATCAGAATAAAGGAAGGGGATGAATGGAAGACAGCTTTTAACATACCATTGGGATGCTACCAATTTAAAGTGCTCCCCTTTGGATTGCAAGGAGCACCTGCCGTGTTTATGCAATTGATCAAGGGAACCCTTCATGAATTTTTATATAAAGGTGTTCTAGTGTATCTTGATGATATTTTAATCTACATGAAAACAATGGAAGAACACATCAAGCTACTCTGTGCAGTC